CCACCGAGCCCTCCTCCTCCCCTACCACCCAGCCCGTCATCACCATCCCCGCCGCCACCGCCACCGCCTCGTCTGAGGCCGCCACCGCCCCTGCTCCCCCCACCACCAACTCCACCCGTGCAGCCCTCTCCAACCTCCCAGCCCCCCTCTTCTCGTACCCAGCCCCTTTCCCCGCCCCCTTCATCTCCGCCATCTGTACAGCCATCTCCACCACCACCATCTCCATCACCACCATCGCCACCACCACCTCCATCCCCACCCCCACCCCCACCACCATCCCCACCAACATCCCCACCACTACCTCCATCCCCACCACCATCCCCACCACCATCCCCACCACCATCCCCACCACCATCCCCACCACCATCCCCACCACCATCCCCACCACTACCCGCCCCACCGCCGCCTATTCCACGTACTTCATCCCCGCCGTCATCACACCCACCGCCTCCCAAGAGCCCTAAATCCCCCAAGGTGCCCAAGGCGCCCACCCCACCAAAAGCGCCCAAGGCGCCCAGCCCACCAAAGGCGCCCAAGCCCCCGAAGGTTCCCAAGGCACCGCAGCTCTCACCCCCACCCCCATTCGGCGGGGGCAACACCTTCCTTGTGGACAACTTCCCCTTCTTCGCGTCCTGCAGTGTCCGTGACACTAACCTGAGGCCGCCGTACCGAGCATCAACGCCAACAGGGCCCGTTAACCTCACCTCCACCACCGCCACCTACTGCTTCCACCTGGTAGCCACGAATAGCAGCGGCAGCCCCTGTGCGGGAATGAACATTAACAGACTCGAGTTTATCGTCAGTAAGTAAATTGGGCCGGGACATGGACAGCAGAAGTAGGATAAATGAGTAATCGATAGATTGGGTGGGCTCGGCACATATTGTAATAGCTGGTACACATGAATAATTGATAGATTGTGGGGCTCAGCACACACATGCTATGCTACCCATGCAAACACGTGCAGCAGCCTGAGGCCCTGTAATTTCCAACTGGTTATCAAGATCATAATGGGGATTGGCTACCGCATTTATAGCACAGTATGTATCCATCGTTGTTATTATTTCATACCGATGTGAGTCAGCTAGCTAGCACGCTATGACTTTGCTAAACATGTTGCCTACCTGGTTGCCCATAGCTACCCCACCCTCTGCTGCATGCACTGCACTGCTGCATGCTGTAGTAGCTGGCCGCTGAAAAGGTCTCTTGAGATGCTGGTGAAGCGTTTAGCGTATTTTTGTGGACGTTATGTGTGCCTTACTGTGGACCGGCTACTACACATGCACTGCACTGCTGCATGCACTGCTGTGCGCTTTGTCCCTTCTGTGCCAATAATAGCAGTAATGATAATAATAATAATAATAATATAATATAATATAATATAATATAATATAATAATAAGTAATAATAATAATGATGGTAATGGTAATAATAATAAATATATTAACATATTAATGATAGCAACAACAATAATATTAACAATAATAACACTGTTTGTATGCATTTCACAACCTTGCAATTGCGTGCATCGGACCACAGACAGCACTTGTGTCAACGAGGAGCCCAAGGCGCTACGCGCCGCCACCGTCAACGGTAATTCAGTTTACCCACTTTTCAGCCCCAAGACCTGGAAGGGCGAGTTGTACGGCATGATGACGTTCCGCCGCCTGAGCGATATCTTTCCCACAACCCCCTCCGGTGGCTTGTACATCTGCTTGGAGCTGGGTAGGACCAGTCGCTGCAGCACGCTGGCAGGGCTGTGCTACGGCCGCAGCAGCTGTGTGTTCGCGATATCGGACACGGATTTCACCTGTTGTGCCACGAGCCAAGCACCGGCCTCATGATGTATGAAGCAGCCGCTGCAGCTGCAAGCTGCAATGGGCGGGTAAATAAATCATGTATAGCTTCAGGGGAGGCGTTATTAGAGACATGCATTAGTAAATGTGGCACCATGGCGCGCGCACGATGCTTATTTTTCTCCAGCCAGTCGATGATGTCCAAGACCGCTTTGAAAAGCAAGACGTTGTTTATATATGTTTGCTTTTGTCCCTATTGCAAGGTTCCGTGGGCTTCAGCAAAGCTGTGTTGGTTCACTTTAATCGGCGGCTACTGCTGGTGACTCTGGTAATGAGAACCGACGTGCTTCCTTGCCCTGCCTCACACACTGCTGAGCCTGCTGGTGCCACATTGGAAGCACCCGGTTGTGGTTGTTACAGTGGGCACAGTTGTTACAGTGGTTGTTACATCACCCGGTGATGGTGGTTTGCAGTTCGAATGTTCAATATGCGTTGCCCCCTAAATGTAAAGGGGTGAAGTGTGAAACTAGAGAGTAATGGGATCCCACTACTTCATCCGAATGCACGTGGAAAACCCTTTGCCAGCTAAGTACGTATTGGCAGCATTCCGCAACCCTATAGCTAAGCGCTGCCAGTTTACTTTATTTTACGTGAGCGTGTCACGAAACGCATGGGATTGCGAATTGCATACGTGATGCGAATTTTGTAAATGCATGTGTGTGTAATGTAATGTAATGTTACAGAGTGGGAGGCTTCTGGGCCGCTTTTATCACATTGTCAGTTCTACGATTTATCATGTTATAGCACCATCCACCACTACCACACTATACTTCGCCATACGAACTGTAAGTCCAAGGCGGCGGGTCCAGCCGTCTAGGACCCCTCCTCATCCATTCACCCGAACAACCGAAGAGACGGAGGGTTCGGCAATCGCCACCAATCCAGCGTGCGAATCTGGTCCATCAACTGCGACCTCAACTCCACATCTCAGCAGCTAGCCATAATCTCGCGCTCCCGACTAATTCGGGGGTCTCCCCAGGAACAGGAATGTGTGTGTGTCTGCCAGAGTGAGTCTGGAGCCCACTGTAACAACCACACACACAGTTTGCGTATCCATTCGAATTCGCAGCTTTTCGTGACCAGCCCTATGGGAGCATGTTCCCCTCTTAGAGCCCCATATGCCCTGATCCTGTCTTGCAGGGCTGTTAGCGGGGCCCCTGTAACAGGGAAGCGACCCTGTAATGGGTCCCCATTGCCCCGTATTAGGGCACCATGTTATGGGGCCCTCCCAGTACAGGTCCCTTGGGCCCCACCGAGTTGGCAGCCTTTGCCGAAGCCCACACCTGTTCTAACTAACATCAGTATCCAGTGTACAAAAAAGTGGTTACTAGTGGTTACTGAGAAAATAAAATTCCCTCCTCGAAGTGGTTACTATCACTATGACGACGGGTGATCGCGTTACGTCGCGTTAAATTCGCGTTACGAGGCTTTAACGCGAGTTTAACGCGACGCTAACGCGATGTAACGCGATCTTAAGCACTGATAACGCACCGGTTCGCTTGTGCGTATGGCCTAACGCACATCATCTTTATTCGCATGCTAACGAGCTGAGTAATTTTGGCTGGCAGTGCGTTAGCTTAAGCAACTAACGCAAACTAACGCAAACTTTACGCGATCGTAAACGCGACCAGGTGACTTTTAACGCGAGCGTTACCTTACCTATAGGTGTAACGCATACGCAAGCGAATGGCATACGCGGCTGCGACTGGTGCGAATGCGTATGCATATGCGAATGTGGCGAATGATATCGCGAGTTTTACGCGACCCTAAACGCGACCAGGTGACTTTTAACGCGAGCGTTAGCTTAGCTATAGGTGTAGCGCATACGCATGCGACTGGTGCGAATGCGTATGCATATGCGAATGTGGCGAATGATATCGCGAGTTTTACGCGACCCTAAACGCGACCAGGTGACTTTTAACGCGAGCGTTAGCTTAGCTATAGGTGTAACGCATACGCATGCGAATGGTGCGAATGCGTATGCACATGCGAATGTGGCGAATGAATTCGCGAGTTTTACGCGACCCTAAACGCGACCAGGTGACTTTTAACGCGAGCGTATCGCCAAACGCAAGGGATAGTGAATGGCATACGCGACTGCGAATCCTGCGAATGTATGTGCTACCATTTGAATTTTACGCGAGTGACTGCGACTTGCGTGCGGGACTGCGAACTGTACGGCCAACCGTGCAATACAAAAGCTTTACAATAGCAGTACACGAGCTGTACAATATGCAAAGTGCACCGCCGTTGCACATGACCTGCAGGTTCACAGCTGTGAACCACAGCACTCACTGCTTTCTTCATACATTTGAACTATCCCTGAATGACAGGTACGAATTCATAGCAAATCCTAACATGACCGATGCAACTCAGCCAGCAACTCTTACCATGGAAAAGGGTCCAACAGTCTAACGTCAGAAAAAATGGACACACAAATGTTAAGCGCATGTAAATGTACCACAATACAGCCACTATTGTCTTCTTATTAAAGCGCTCAATCCTCGCCTCCGCTGATGTCATCTTCACGAACGACGGCATATATCTGCATATCAAAGGATCACAACAAATCATTGTTTAGGCAGGAAAACATAGTTGTGAGCATGTTACGTACAATGACGGCTGTAGGTGTAACACCGGCGTAACGTGCCACGAAATAAGGCAATAAAAAGCATTTAGTTAATAGCCATGGTCTTGCAACCAGAGGCTTCATACCTCCGAACGGCCGCTTCGTGGCCTGCCACGTCCCGTTTGAGCCCGACTCTTGTTCATATCCTTACCACCATCCTTGCGCTTGTCCTATTCCTTGCGATTCTCCTGCTCGTGTCCTTGGAATGTAAAATGACAAGGCATAATGTCAGTGTATGCACCTGCATGATGGCCACTTACTGCCGGTGGCGTCTAGTCCCCCTTTTCCTGCTTTCCCCTGCTTGCCTGCGAATGAATGCTGCGCCATTATAAAGACAGATTCTTGTTAAGCAGCCCCTCGCACAAATGTGTCCGGTCGTACTTCGCGAATAAAAGGTCCGTACATCACGCCCCAAAAGCCAGGAGCGAATTTCACCGCGCGGGTGCGCGCGTGCGATTCGCAAAATGCGCGTGTACAAGTGTATATAAATTTTCTTAGAAGAAAGGCCGCGGTGCGTCAGCGCGGTGCGCAGGAAGGCATGCTGGCCACAGGCGCACGCGGCATGCAGGCTGGACTATTGCATGGCTGCTTTGCAGTAACTGAAAGCACCGAAAGCCTACGTCGTAGCTTGCAAGACTGGGCTCGTGAAACTGCCGCGGGAAGAGGAAGCGTCTGGCGAAGAGGCAGTTGTATGCAGCACCTTGTTCAGAGTAAAGTCAAATTACAAAGTTGCGCAAAGTATAACATACATCAACTTAATTAAACATAAGAACAGATAAGACGTGTAGAGCCTTGTCGGTGACATGGACGCCGCTGTTGGCTTGGAACAGCTATTTGCTGTGCATAGGGACGTGCCCGCGTTAGCCGTGTTGCAACAGCTCAGGATGGATTTCAGCCAACAAAGCCTCA